ATTAAATAGATAGACGTAAACCAAGGGTAACGTAACGGTAGGGTAAAAAACTAAAACGAATAAACCAACGACTAACGTACATATAAATAACACACACACACACACACACACACATATATATATAGGTAAACGCTTTGGTAGTGTTATCATTCTTCATACCCCCCCCCCCTTTTAAATAGAAATAAAAAAGTATATTTTATCTGAATTTTTCTGTTTCCCAGAAAAACTAATAGAAAAGTTTGTCTATATGTACGAATAAATTTCCATAGATATAGTAATCAATGAATTCTACAAACTTTTAAAACTAAAACAAAAGCTCATATGGTGTTAGGACTAATTTTCATGTTATTGTGTTCCACGTTTGGCGTATAAGCTTGGGAAAATACAACCACTTTTCATGTTCCTTTTTGTATGGGGAGAAAAACTTCCCTCAGGCTTCACTAGACAACAAGGTCGAAACTGTGCAATGGTTTTTCCTTCTTTTGTGTTTTCGTATTTAATCGTTGAGTCATTTATAAGTTAAGGTTCATTCAGTTATCAGTATCACATACGTCAAACAGCTTTCAACTAAACATCTCTCTCATGAAATAAATTATTCTGGTGATTTTGAATGAATAGTAAGAATGCAACAACTGACTTTCAGCTAGATTTTGTAGCATTAAAAACAGCCAAGAAAATATTTGGGAATAATATCAAAGTCTCGTGTTTGTTAACACCAATAGTACGAGACTAAGAATATCGAAAGTATTTCCTTTCAAATCACGTGATGTGACGTCATCTCCAAAATTCAAACTGCGAAAATAGTGAACAAGGGCGAACCAGGATTCTCGTCGGTTTGAAAAATCCATCATTCTGTGGGTGAACGGTAAGTTTATGGACTTAAATTTGTGGCGCGATCCCTGCGTCGGACAGACCGTAGATAGCCAATTGTGTAGCTTTGCGCTAAAAAACAACATTGAAAAAGCCATAAACACGTAAGAGGTTATGCGACAAATATCAATTTGGCAGTATGTAAAAAAAAAATTAAAAAGTTAAAGTATCTGTTATTCCTGGTGTTCAGTAATACTGTCATCGGTAAAAGTGGCACCCAGTAATAATGCGAAGTGGGAACACCTTTTTTTAATACTGTAATTAAAAACCATAAAAATGTAATTTTTTTTTCAAAATTCTTTTGTGAAGAAACGTTATCATTTTTTCTTCCATATGTCATTTCCCCACTTTTCGCATTGATACTGATGTTATTTTTACGGATGCCACTTTTCCCACTGCGGGATTCAATATTCTGTACGCACATTTGACGTATTTGGTGGCTAGGGAGTAAGGTTTCTTATCTCCACATCGTGAGTCAACGAATTACTCTTGTATCTTGAAAATCCGTATTTTTAAAATAATTATAAAAAAGTTAATGTGACATAACAGTATTTTACGGTAGGTATCTTTGAGAAATTGCAACACCTTAAGTTTATCAACCTTGTTGTGTTTACCATCTTTAGGTGCAGGAAAGGAAATGGGATTTAGGAACTAGGTATTCGCTTAGAAGGAGCAGTGGGGTGATAGGTATAAAAACAAATAGAAAATATAGGAGGTTCTTATTTTATATTCTAGCGTGTTAATATCGGTAATCACAAACATCTAATTTGAACCAATGCTGCATTCAACATATCACGTGACACACAAGAATCGATATTTACGTGTGTTCTTATAATATTTACTTTTAATTTAAGAAATTAACTTGTGTATAATACTAAAATTTGAATTATAGTCCACAATTTCATACCAAACTTATTGAGATAAATCAATAAAATAGTAGTTCAATAAAATTTTGAATGTAGGTCAACAAACGCGATGACGTGGCCTTTGACCCGTGACGATAAGGTTAATAAACATCTTCAGTGGTACTAAAATTAACCAATGGGGAAAAAATAGCAAACTGAGAACTAGGTACACGGCGTGTACCAGCATGTACTCCCATATCCATCACTGTTTAGGTGTATAAAATAGTGTTCTTAATATATTAGGGTTATTTTAAAATTATCAGCCATCATATACAAAAGTTGAACTAGTTTTTAATACTTGTAGTCTGTTTTGTTGAATTAAAATTTGAGAAAAAAAAAGTATATATGTTGTTCTCACATATTTTCTTTTTAATCTTTTTTTTTGGTGGGCGGGGCAGTGTCCTTGTATATTTACAACTTGTGCTATTTTTACTAAGACGTCGGTAAAATGTTTAAAGGGATTTCTTCTACTAATTCAAGATTTAAATATGTAGTGTTATGATAAAGTATACTTCTATTCCAAACTAAAATATTATAGTGTTACAAGCAATGTCGATGAACCAACGTATAGAGTTCAAACAATGGAAAGAAGGAAAAAAACAACAGGTTAATGATTTAATTTTGTAATTAGTGTGGACTAATTGCACGAGCTCGGTCTGATGACTATGATTTACACACTATCGCTCGGCGCTGCAATTTTCATTGTAAGAAGCTTCCTACATTTTGACGTACGTTTCATAGACCCTTAAGATCACATTTAACGAAACCAAAGGCACACAAGAATCCATTGGAGCTGCATTCGGGTACACACAACAGGTATGTGGTCGATTGGGGTTATGTCATTCCACTATTTTCGGCCATCTTTATTAAGAAAACAGCTGTTGATTTTGAAGCTGCGTCTGGGTACATGACAGGCATATAGTCAATTGGGATTATTTGGATTCCAGTTTTTTTTTTTGGCCATCTTTCCTATGAAAACAGCTGTTGATTTTGAGTTATTACAGGAAGCTTGTGAACTTTGATTTGTATTCTATCAACTACGTGAAATTCACGTTCGTAATTTTGTTAGTGGTACTAGGTGATCTGCCTAGCTTCGTGTGTGTGTGTGGGGTGGGGGGGGTAGTTTCTGTCGTAGATATAGCATTAATTTCGTTGATGAGGGCATTTTATAGGTTGGCTTGAAGTGTGGTTTAGAAAATCTTTATTCTTTTAAACACACTGCTGAATGAATTTTTCCACTTCTGTAGAGAGAGCATGCTCTCTTCTTCGGAATTTTGTATCCTTTGGTTTTACATCGTTTAAAAGTTTTGCCATGTGGTTAATCTTCCTCGGAAAGAGTTCTGACAAGTTCCTTCAGCTTTACTGATGTAACCCGTTTTTGCCGTAATACAAATAAACATGTCGCCGGTGTTAATCTGCAACGACATGGCTCTACACTAGCATGTATATGTTATAGTCGATGTCCAGACGAAACGTTTAGCTTTCTTCTTACAAGCACTGACTAATGAGTGTATTGACCATAACATAAGCATTCAGTTTTTATATGGAAAGCCATTTCCTTCCACTGTCTTTCAGGTTTACCTACAAAAAAGTCAACACGCCACTTGCAAAGAGATTCGGTTATCGATTAGAATGTTCGAGAACAGGCATTAAATAGCTTTAAGATAGATTGATGAAAGTATTCAAGATTTACATGGATTTGCCCAATGTAAAGTACCCTAAGATAGAAAATATAATGCGGTTTAAGATATTTTAGACCATATTGATATATTAATCGCACATTTGAAAAGTTACTATTACATTAGATCCTTACTTTTATTTAAAAAGCATTTTTACCAAATACAGTTTGTGTGTTTTAGCTTTTACCTCTGTATTCTCTCCACAAGAATGTTCTTTATTAGCATACACAAAATTTAGACAACGAGGATATGAATTTAGGAATTTTTGGTATACCCGTATTTTTCGTCAGTAGGGCTATTAATTTCAGGCCTTTGGTATGCAGAAATTTTAGGACAATTTCTCATATTTTCTTGATTCAACAAAACAAATAATATTGATTTCTAAACAATTTGAAAGACATATAACTGATTCTAATACTATTATGACGTAAACATTTTACAGCAGATTCTTACCAGTGTTGTATAATATTATTTGAATGCTCGTATGCAGTTGTACACCATTTGGGGCATTTTTTTAGCTGCAGCATAGTGGCGCAAATAATGGCATTTGATTTTTTTTGTTTTTTTCAAGTACAAACATTTAGCTCATAGCTCCATCTCTTGACCGATTTGAGATATAATTACAGCCGCTGCTATTGAAGATTCCCTCTTGATTCGGCTTGCCTTTGAACGTACTTGGATTACATTTTAAGTTATTTTTACCTCATTCTTTTGTGGTTGCTGACAACTTTCGCTCACTTACAAATGATGATGTTCTGGTTTTGTAATTGCATATTTATTATTACCACTACTTAATACATACATGAACAAATGTATATATATATATATAACTTTTTTTTTATAGGATCAGCCTTCATAAGGATTTGGAAGTTAGCGATAGTGAAGAAGAAACGGTGAGTTTCATTTCTTATTTTTTACTGTTAATATTTATTTACATATGCTCATAAATCAGCACATCAAACTGAAATCGGGAACTTCGGGAACACCCTATAGAACTGCAGAGGCAATAAAATCATCAAATTATATATCTCGTGAGCTCGTGCTTTATTTCAGCAGTACGTTCGTCCTGGAGATTATATCATTAACAGTACTACAATAAATGTGATGATAATATAGTAGTTATTGGAACACGTACTCGAAGTAATGGTCTGGTTATTAGAGCACTCGACTCGCAATTTGTGGGGAAGCCCGCCACCGAACATGCTTGACCTTTCAGCTGTGTGTGTGTGTGTGTGGGGGGGGGGGTGGTTATGACGTGTCAGTCAATCCCATTACTCGTCAGTAAATAGAGTAGCGCAAGAATGGACGGTCGATGCTGCCGGCCGATTTCCTTCCCTCTAGCGAGTAGTTCAAAATTAGGGACGGCGGCAGATAGTCTCAGTAGCTTTACCATAAACAAAAACAAACAAATATGTTTAAAGTTGTGTAATAAATAGTGGTATTGCTTCTGTAGGGAGCTTAGTTGAACTGATATCGATGTATCTTATACCACGTATATGGATGAGAGCCCTCGTAGGCCAGACCTGGCCTAGTGGTTAGCATACCCGATTATAACTTCGAGGGTTCATGGTTCGAGGCCCGTTGCATCATACAATAATAGCCCCAGATTTGGTAGTAAATGCTGTATACTTGTTGCTTTCCCTGTAGTATTTTAATTCAAAATTAAGTACGGCTGTGCGACGATACCCTTGTGTAGCCTTATGCAAACTTCTTAAAATACAAAGAAAACTCTTGCTCTTAACAGAAATTTTGTGGTGTGAACCTTTTTCCATTGTTATTTGAAAATGAAATCATAAAACATCTTGTAAATTTCAAGTAATTACTTTTACTGTTTTTTGTTCAGAACTTGGAAAGAATAACTAAATTGTTTTTAAAAGTGGCTTTTTTTTTGTTTGTAAGTTTTGTGCATAATTTTACGTTCTAGCGGTAGCATATGAGTGAAACAATAATATCTAAAGCAATCTGTCGGGTAAGTTATTTGACTATTATCTCTCGGCTAGTTTACGCACATACATGCGTTGCTTCAGAAATTATTTGCATATTTATATTGTTATTTCAGAGATCTTTCACAAATCTGCATAATTATTCCATATGTTATTCACTTACATATACCATTGTTTTAGGGATCGTTGCCATGCTTGTATTGTTTCACATATTATTCGTATTTTGTGTTGTTTCACAGATATTTTTAATACCTCTATTGTTGTTTCATAGATTATTTGCATATCTATGTTGTTGTTTCACAGATAGTTTCCACACCTGTGATCAGTGACGTAACTACAAAATATGCCCCTCCTTCATAAAAAATAGTTGGGCTACATAGATTTATTCCCCTTTATGGAAGTTCTTAAAATTTGCCAGGCCCCTTGGGTCAGCGGTATGTCTACGGACTTGCAACACCAAAATTCGGGGTTCGATTCCCCTTGCTGGACATAGCAGATAGCCCAATAGAACTTTGCTTTAAAACAAACGAACCCTTCTGGCCCTCTTTGGGCTCGGACTACCCGCAATTGCGAGGGCATACTTACGCCACTGTCTGTGATGTTGTTTCAGAGGTCACTGAATACGTATTAAACAGAAACTTTTTAGAAATTTTAGCGAAGTTAATAATGACACAAACACTGTTTTATACCGAAGTGTTTCTGTTAAAACTGCATCAAAGTTGAATGTACGGTTCAAGTTCATTAAAGTGCATACTTCGATAACGTACTTTAGTACATTTTATGTGTTCCACAGTTTCGGACTTCTTACATTTAACGTTATGGTCACAGAAATATTGCTTTGGTACTCATTATCATTACATTTCACGAAAGAAAGAAATATATTCAAACATACATATGTAAAGATAATTAAAGGTTAACTCGTAGAAAACAACTTAACGCTAAGTATTTTCCTGATACGAACAATATCCAATTGTTTCAAGAATTAAAAGCATCATAAACTAAGAACAGCTTCCGCTCTACAGAAGTGCTTCAGAATAAGCTGTTAAGACCAAGATCGTTCTAACTTACTACACGATGTAGATGAAGCATTAACTTAGGAATTACCCCAAGTGCTCTTATAGTTCTGTACAAACAAAACCCGTTAATTTTACAATGTGTCTGTCATGTACACTTTTGACTAGAAACTACCCAAGGATTTCTTCGCGTGATCAAAAATACCAGTTTATGAAAACAAAGTGGATTGTTTAGAGTATTTTTTATTGTAGTAAATTACTAGATATAAACAGTTATTTGTGTGATCATAAGGTGTTGGATTTCGATGTCACCATGGTGGTGCCGCGTATATCCCAGGGGAGACTGTCAAGTACGATGTTGAATATTAAGTAGAAGTAAATGTATTGCTCTGGAGTTACTGGTCCATCGAATCCGGTAATGTGACATTAAAAACTAGTATGTAGTGAACATAAGCTGACACGTGGAAAAACATTGGAAACGATCATATGCAGAGTATAAGTTGATTCATGAGAAAACATTGGAAACGATCATATGCAGAATATAAGTTGATTCATGAGAAAACATTGGAAACGATCATATGCAGAATATAAGTTGATTCATGAGAAAACATTGGAAACGATCATATGCAGAATATAAGTTGATTCATGAGAAAACATTGGAAACGATCATATGCAGAATGTAAGTTGATTCATGAGAAAACATTGAAACGATCATATGCAGAATATAAGTTGATTCATGAGAAAACATTGGAAACGATCATATGCAGAATATAAGTTGATTCATGAGAAAACATTGAAACGATCATATGCAGATTGTAAGTTGATCGTACAAGGACATTAAAGACGATCATATACAAAATATAAATTAATTCATAAAGAAACATTGAAAAGGATCACATACAGAAAGTAAGTTGATCATCATAATAAAACATTAAAAACGGCAATAGACATAAATTGATCATGCAAATACATTGAAACTTTATCATACAGGAGGCAAGTTGATCACCACAAAACATTAAAAACGATCATACAAAATATTTTATGGTATAAATATATTAAAACAGTCGTATACATTATATAAGATCATCATGAGAAGATATGAATCGTGATCATATATAGAGCTTAAATTGTCATGAGAGAACATTAAACCTAATATGAAATGATCTTGAGATTTTATATTGTCGATAACTCCTTGGTCAAAAGCTTTTCTCGGGATATGATTCATACACGACAATAAATTAATTTCACAAAAAAACATTCGAAAATGTTGAGCCTTGTACGTACTAAAACTTACTGTACTGAATGTACTTAGAATGCTACTTAGAAATATACAACAACTGAAACTGAGCTTGTACTTGAATACACATGTTTAGTAAGACTGGGTATGCAGATTTTTCGCATGCCTTTTAAGAACACTTGGATTTCATGGCATGCAGGAGCAAGTGTAGTCTGAATACGTTCACATTAATGCTTGGGGGAAAAAAAGACTCAGTGTTTGACTGCTGTTGCGAAGAAGAAAAACACTGAGGTCATTCAACAACTAACTATATCTTATCATCGTATGACTGGAAAACCTTGTTCTTACTCTTAACCCAAAACCTATTCCCCGTCATTACAGGATAAAGAAAATATATGAAATTGTGGGATGGTAGATGAATAGACCAAGTCTGGATGTTATTTATTATATCACTACTTAAGTGGTAAAAGTGTTATAAAGACAGAAAACCGTCAAAATTGTTCTCTCTTTTTTTTTTCCTTCCTTTGTCCGAACTATGTTTAGGGCACTTTACCTTTTTTTCTACCTCTGTCATAACGTCGAGATTTCTACAGTGTTTGTGTAAGTTGGGAGTCAGTAATCTCCATCGCAAGAAAGAAAGTGAATAATGAGCGTTCCACGAAAAGTAGTAGTTCGGAGTGGGGAATTCCCTTACCTGATATAGATCTGTAACTGATATTTCTCACAGTTTAGCAGATTTATTATAACATGGACTCCCCTTTTGCTTCATAAACATTAAAAATAATGTCACAAAAACAAATTAACTCTCTTTAGAAAGGGTTCCCGAAAAGAAAGCACATAGGAGAAGAGGAGAGTCGGTCACTAAGGAGAAAAGAGTATCTTATTAGTAGACATAGCAGTTGTTAAAATGTGTTTTAAAAAACGCGATTTGTCTTCCGTTTGTAACTACTCCATCTTATGATTTAAAGGACGTGCTTCTGTTGATAAGAATGCACGCTGTAGATATTATTTTACGAATATACAGTTTTGTTTTAATTTTTTGGGGGATCGTATTGGCCCTGTGGTAGAGCTCTGGATTTCGAATGACACAAAGTATCCCCCACTACACACACACACGCATTTTAAACTTGGGGTGCCGTATAAGAGTGACAGCCAATCCCTTAGTGTGGATTGTGGGTGGTAAGATGCCGTTGACTTCCATGTGGCCAGTAGTTAATAATTAGGAACTGCGGCAGAAAGACTTAGTGTAGCTTTACCATAAATATAGGTTTTTAAATTTTGTGTGAAACTATCTTTTTCTTTTCAAACCATCAATACGACAAAACTAATTTAATTATAATTAGTTGTCCTGTATTTAATTATCATGTTGTCCCAGTATCATTCTCAAAGTTTAATTGTGGTTTTCAGCTATGAACTTAGTTTACACATGTAATTAGAATTTCACACTGATCTTCGCATATGCCCTGTTCATTGTGGACACGTGACGTTGTTTTTGTAAGTTTTCCTACCAAGTATTTTAGCATATATAGCCATGTTTATATGTATATATGGAACTGTGACGTTCTACTCTTTGAAAGTGGAACAACTTCTGTTTTTATTTGTACATCTGAACACTTAATGAGGTCTTATCTTGTTTATGATGTTGCTCGTTATATGCGACTTTAACTTATCATTTCCACTTTAAAAATACTCAGTGTATT